TTTCTTAACTAATAATTTTATAGAAGCTCACTTAATAATATATCGTTATCAGAAGTATACCGTAATTTACTTTTGTTATTTTAATCTTATATAAAGTCAATCATAATTATAAGATTTAGGATTATAAAACAAATTTTAAACTTTGTATTTAAAATTTCGAAAAATTTCAAATTTTATTTACTTTTAAAATTATACAAATACATGTCAATTTAATCTTAATGAATTCTAAACATATAATTTATTTTCTATTTAATTATATTAATTTATTTAAATAAATTTATTAAATGATATTGTCAATTATTAAGCTTCTTTTTATTATAACAGTGTACTTCAAATAATTTCAGTATAAACTTTCCATGTGGAAACAACTTGTTTATTACAATATTACTTATCTGGTATTTTACTATAAAATCATATTAAATGGATTCTACATATATGAAATCCCGTCAAAAAATTTCAATCACAACTTGATTTAGCTCTTTATTTTTTATTGTGAATTTGCAAAAAAACAACACATAAATTGCTGTCTGTCTATATAGTTACTTAGAATACTTCAAAAATTATAGAGGGTTATTAACCCTTCAATTATTTATTTTAAAACCATATTTTAATGGTTTCTATTTTCTTTAACACAAAAATAACACAATATAACAGTATATTATTATTATATTATTTGCATATATACAATTATGTATATATATATATATTTTTATTAAAATTATTATTATACAATATTATAAAATTAAAGTTTTCTAATATATAAATTTTAAATCCTTTAAAACAAAATTTTATTTCAAATTTATATGGTAAAGAAAACTTTTATATTTTATTTTATTTTTTATTTTCTGTCTTTCTTTCTTATTGTTTGTCAGACAGAAAGGACAATAATTGTATGAATTATAATCTTCTATACTTAATGTCAGACAGTTAAATAACTTTTAAATGAGTAGGTATTATAAAATAACCAAATTATTTATATTGTTGTAAAGAAGCGTGTATACCTCTTCTATACATAAATATATGTATAATGTATAACAAAACGAAATTTATAATAAAAATCGAATATAAATTTTGATTTCACTTCATATTGTCTTTAATTTTTTGATTTTTTATAATCCTTTACTTTTATGTTGTGTTTTTGTTTTTATTTTTTAATATTTTTCCCTTATAAATTTAAGGAAAATTATTTTATAAAAAGAAGCGCGTTACGATTTTAAATCAAACACGGTCGCTTTTCAACTAAACGGTACGTAAAATAGTCAAGTGTAAAGTGAAAGTAAAAAATATGACTTTTTTGTTTTTTTTTTTTTCTTTTTGTTAATATGGTATAACAGTAAAAAATAATGTAGTAAAAATAAAATCAAAACATATAAAATGTGTTTTATATTGTATACGAAACTAAAACAAACCAATTTTATTATATAAATTGTATATCTCTCTAAAATGAAAGAGAATAAAAATTTACGAATGAGAGAGAACTATTAAAAAGAGAGAAAATCTTATTTAATCTATTATAAAATAGATATTTAATAAGGTGAACAGTTGCTTTCGTTTATTAAGGGCAGGATGTTTTTTGTTTTCTATTTACATGTTCAAAAAGGAATCTTTAGCTTATATGCATACATGCGTACATTAGTAAAACATAAGCTTAATTTTTTTATTGTTCGAATAACAATTTAATAAATAAAAACATTTCAAATATTATAATTAAATGCCAAAATAAATTCGATAACACAATGTTCATCTATTGTGAACCAGAAACACTACGTAACTGCATAGATCGTCTTCGTATTTGTTTAAAGCACTGAACTCAGTTTTGCTTATATGATAATATTTTACAATTAATATATATTCAATTTTTTTAAGATATTTTCTCAAGCATGTAATTTTAAGGGAAAACATATAAGGAATTTTTATTGAAACAAGTGCTTAGGTTTTGAATCTGTTACAAATCTCTTTTTTGGGTGATTCGGATTAACGTTTGTATTCAATTACGCATATTTTTTTACTTCATATGAATCAACATTATATTCATAATGAAACTTCAGTTCCGTAATACTGCGGAATTTACAATGTGATAGCTACCCTAAAAGTAATAGAGAAATTTAAAATAATTTTTTTTCAATGGTAAAAATATTTTTAAAAATATTCATTCAGTGGAAAAATCTAAATAATTTAAAAAATGTAAGTAGATATAAATAAAATTTAGTATATATAATTTTCTTTGACTCAATAAAATGTCTTTTTTTTAATTTACATGTCCTTCCATTTTGTTGTAAAATAGTTGGTCGCTTTAATATTTATCGTTTATACAAAAATTTACATACATACATAGATGAATATAATTTGTACTATCTTTAACACTACACATTGTTCCTATATATATACATATATATACATAAACTTTATATATATATATATTATTTAATATATTATACGAAATATATTAAATATAAAGGGGGAGTAGAATAATTGCAATTTTCCACTATAAATTTTATTTACATACACATATACGATGTGGTATAACAGTATTATAACTGCCTATGCATTTTATAATATATTTTATAGTGCACATTTTTACAAACTATAACTATATATACGTACATACATATTTATCATTGATGATGATTGAAAAATATTGTTAAAATACAATATAGAATATATTAACATACTTGAATATAAATATACAAACAAACAAAATATACAAACCTCAATTATTATCATTCATCCTGATACTACAATATTTTCCTTTTTTTTTTCATTTTTATTATTATTATGTTTTATAAATAATTTACTCATATGAGAATTTCTACGCATGCCTAAAATATTTTTCATTAATACTTTTATTATTATTATATTTTTGGTTTTTTTTTTTTGCTCTTACATTTTGCACTCTATTTCTAAACATAAAACAAAAAAAAAATAATCCTTACAAATGCCGACTACAGTACCATTTCAATAATATTTAACCAACTAAAAATTTAAATCCAATAAGATGAGGATTTTGCGCTACATATACATTCAAATTTTTCGTTTGTTCCAGGAATACTATATAATGAATGCGGGAATTAAAGGATATTTTTTAATATTCACAGATTCTGAAATTAAAAAAAAAAAAGTGGAAGAAGAACCAAATGCAGGAAATGCAATTATAAAGGGTCTAGCAAAGCTATGCTGCAAAATTTTCAAGATATGAACGATCAGGTCGCCTAAATTAAAGCTGTTTGAAGTATGTACATATTTTTCTTCAAAATATTTTTCGGCAGAATAATAAATCGCTGCAGAGACTTTGGCAAAAATTATGAACGAATGCTGTTGTATTGAAGAAATTTTCCAAATTCTCACGTATAAACAAATAAGTAAGTAATAAACTTTTGATTCGTATTGTATTGCAAGTAGTAAACGTCTTGCAACTACTATATTTGTATATATATACTTGCATACCTACATTTTTTTATGACCCTTTACAAAAATTTGTAAAATCCCCAGTGTTTTTCTATACAGTTTACATAATTTTTAAAACATGCATATACATATGTACATTCGCAATGTGATATACTATAGCATATATATGTACGATTATGTATATTTACTAACATACTAGACATATGTAAATGTAAAATAAAGCTTCCGAATATAGTAATGTACACACTTTCCCTTAGACATTTTATGTGTCCATTTTTCGTCAATTCTTAATAAATTCAATAAAAAGAAAATTTCTATTTCATTAGTTTACAAAGATTTATTATATAATTGCATAATGATCGGACCCAAAAATTTATATATGTATGTATATACATATATAATTGAATATGTATGTAAATGTATGTAAACACTTAAATGTATAGCATTTGTAAAAGGGATAAAAATTCAAATACTCGTATTTCTTTTTAAAAGAATAAAAATTTTTACCAAATATAATTGTAAATAAAAATTATTGAATTCATTAACAACATTTTAAATCTATTGATTTTGGATTTTACTTTTTATAATTCTTATTATGTTACATTAAAGTTCTTAACTGTTTGTAATCTAAACATTACAAACATTTTAAACTATATTTTCAATATATGTAAGTAGCACGTGCCATGTAATATAATGCGGAAATTTTCTTCGTTTTATTTGGTCCCCATTAAAACATATCGTTTGTATTAAATAATATGTATGTAGATATGTACATATATTCAAAATACAAGCATAAATCTCAGTATTTATATAATATAGATTGAGTCCTTACGACTTTTATACATGTTTGATGCAACTTAAATTTATTGAAAAGTGAAAAAAATATACTGATCCAGAGCTATTTCTTTAATTGTATCGAGTATGGTCAGAATAAATCAAAAGTATGATATGTTAAGGAAATTGCAAAATATTTTGTATGTGTACATACATATATAAAAGTAACTTTACAAATGTAAAGGGTCCTGGAAATGAATATTTAGAGTTCATGTAATAATATTAAGGAAAAATTATAAGAGTGTAAAAAAATAATCTACCGAATATTGCATCGCTTTTCTTACACACCAGTTTGATCATCTACAAAATATAAATATGCAAATAGGCAAGTACTAAATTCCAAGGAATCAAAATACATTATATACAACTTACATATGTATGTTTGAAACTAATTAACTAAAAATTATTATAATTTTATATACACATTCCCATGTATGTATGTGTATTTTATACCATATGTTCGTATTGAGTCAAATATGTAATTTTCAATTAGCAGTGGTTATCATTAAATCATGATAATTATGATAAATGTAATAAAATAATCAGTAATTTGCTGTTAAATTAAAAATTACAAATAAATTTGATTTATGCATGAAATGTTTTTATCGAGTAAATAATAATTATGTATTAAGGTTTATTGTTAAGCCAAAAATCGATCATTATGCTCCACCAGTGGCGTATTAGTTTCAATACTTACCGATTCCGATTCAAAATAGATTTAAAAAAAATTAAGTTTCTAAAGATGAGATATGTTGCTATTATTCAAGCACTTTTTATATTAAATTCATAAAAATATAGTTAATATTCAATATGTACATATATATGACTTTTTTAAAAAAAAAACTTTATTCTTATACATCATTGTATTCTAAATTTATTTATAAAACTCCATAAAAAAAAAAAAAAACTCTTTATTTCGACATAGAATCTTCCGGTTTAAAATGGTTAACGACATTTACAACCCAACTGGATTCAACACCTTGTGTAAATTCCTTAATAAATCTATAATTACATATTGATACCTTATCAATATATTCTGAATTTGGACTATGAAAAAAAAAATTTGTGATAAGATTAAAGTAGAATTACACGAACACGAGTTAATATACCTTATTATGAATTTAGTACTACCAAGTTTTTCCTGAAAATCCTTTAATCCACGGAAGACATGAAAAATCATTGTGATCTCTACCCATCGTTTTTGAATTTTTTCATTTGATTCATCAAACATAACACCTACCTCAAATTTTATGAAATAAAATTTTAAAACTTGTAAAATTAAAAATAATATTATTATTTACTTGATAAGGAAAAGTAAAATAAATATCCTCTTTAGCTACTCTTAATTCAGATCGTTGCGATAATGACATTTGGGCTAAAACAGTCTTTAATTCTGCAACAGCAGATGGATCAACAATATCTTCTAAAGAATTGAAATCGCCATCAGAAAGCGCATTTGATACTACCTAAGAAGTATGTCTTTATTATAAAAAAAAAAACTTCAATTTAAATTAGAATTTTAAAAATTACTTGTAAAGCTTGCTGAGTTCCGGTTATAAAATCGGCTAATTCAAATTCCCTATCAAAATATGGTCTTATCACAAAGTTAATCATGATCCAGTTCTTAATAGATTTTAAAAATGAAGGCCACACGATTTCAGGAAACTGCATTAAAGTTGGTAGCTTTCTGCTCTTTTCATCTGGTGTCTCAGGCATTGGCTTATTAAATTTATTTGCATTGTTTTCATGTTTCTTAGGTGCTTGTGAACTATAATATTGAAAATTAGTGTTGCATACATATGCTGCTGGACCAACTATTGCTTTCTTATTTTGAAGTGTTATATAATTTAAATTTATAAATTTTTTTACGTTTAGGCATAATGTTTTATTTAAAATTGATGCCATTTAGGTTTTAAAACTACATATAACTTTTGTAAAATCAAAACATAAGCAAATGAAATGTCACTTTTACAGACGCTTTTAAACGATTTAATTTTATTGCAAATTCACGATGACATTTCAAATTAACATGCCGATATTCTTATGTTATTCTCTAATTTGCAGAGCAATTCAAATGTTTATTGAACGTCATTGAATAAACACTTCTTGCTATTTTGTGTATGGATTGATATAATGAACGCAACTAGATGATTTGCATTAAAGTTATAACTCAAATATCTTATTGGAAATTGACGGCTGGTTATGTGAATAAAAATAAAAGCAAAACAGTCGACAATTTTGGGCCAGGTGTCATTTTTGATAGTGGTACTTACTAAATTCTCAAATCTTTATTGTGAACTGTCCACAGTTTTGAAAGGCTTAGAAAAATAAGTGTCAAACTTAGTTTTTAAACTCAGTCGATTGTCATTAGTGTCAAATCAATCTGTCATTTGTAAAATTGTAAACATTTAGAATTTTTTATAAAAAAAAAAATTTTATTCATAATAATTATAAACAATAAAATAAACATAATAATAAAAATGTCTGAATATGACAATGTTCGGATTGGAAAATTAGTGTTGAAAGGAGAAAAGCATAAGTATAGCACAATAGTTTCGAAAGTAATAAAAAAATAACAAACTTAATAATTTTATAGATCAAAAAAACGTAAACATAAGGATAAAAGCCATGATAAAGAAAAAAAATCTAAAACAAATGTTGATGAAGATGCTCTTCGTAATGGTGGGTGGTGGAAAGTTACAACTACCACTGAAGTGATTGGTTCTGTTGCCATACAGTTCGGTGAAAGAACCTATATCAAAGCTTTAGATAACGGGCTATTTACATTGGGTTCACCTCATGATATAGGAGAAGGACCTGCACCTGAAGAAATTTTAACAGCATTTTCTATAAATGAAAAAAAAGTTTCATTTAAATCTGGATATGGAAAATACTTAAAGGTTGAGAAAGATGGAATGGTTACAGGCAGATCGGAAGCTGTTGGGAGTATGGAACAGTGGGAACCAATTTTTGAGGTAGACAATATTATCTAATATTAAAAATTTTAACCTGTCTTATCTTAATAAAAATATTTAAAAAAAGGATGGTAAAATGGCATTATTGTCAGAAATTGGAACCTTTATGGCAATTGATCCAGAGGATGATGCATGCGTTGCATTGCAGAAAAAAGTTGGCCCAAACGAAATAGCCGGTATGTAAATTTTGAAAAAATGAATAAAACAAAAATTTGTATTCAATTAATTTATTGCAGTTATTAGATCATGCGCAGTTAGAGAATTGAAGGAAAAAGATGATGAACCAGTTGAAGAAAAAGGGGATCTACAACAAGTAGAAAAAAACTTTGTGTAAGTACCTACCTACAGAAAAATAAGGAAACTATTCATTTAATTTAATTTTAGCAAAAAATTTCAAAAATTCCAAGATAAAAAAATGTTGATAAACAAAGAAGATGTTAAAGAATTGGAAAGGGCTAAAGAAGAGGGATATTTACATGAAAAACTCCTTGACCGTAGAAGTAAAATGAAAGCTGACAGATATTGTAAATAGTTACATTCATTCCGGATAGAAAAGCCGAGTAAATCTAAAAACAATTATTTTCAAATTGTTCAGGTTCTCATAAATTGTCTAAACCAAGATGTTTCGTGACTTTTAAAATAAAAATCCAATTTAAGTTTTTCTGTTTTTTTTTTTTTTTTGTAATTTTAAAGGAACCTTATTACTATAAAAAGCTGGTATTTTAATTTTTATTATTTAATTTTAATGTGTTTTGTTTCTTCGTTTCCAAATTTTCTCTTGAATTCGTCTGCTTTTTATTTTATTTTATTTTTTTTTGTTTACTGTTTTTCTCTCGCTTTTGGCTTAGCACAATTTATATTAATCTGATAATATTTCAGCTTTCAGAGAGATCTCTTTTTTGTCGTAACCATTCTACAAATTCATCTAGCATAACCGGCCCTATAAAAATTGTATTAATAGTTATATAATATAACTTATAGTTAGACAAATAAGAATTAAAAAGAGAAGTTGACTTACAAGCACCGTCTATATCATAATTAGATAAATCATGGTTAATAGTTCTTGAAAATTCGAGTATATTACACCACTGGTCTTTATTAATAACTTTGTACTTTGACTGCTCCAAAAATTGTGCGAAATGTGGAAATAATGCCCAGTTTTTTCCTAATAATAATTGTAACATTTGTTTCGCTGTTTCTATATCCATGCTGCGCTGATCTTTATCCTTAAAAATTTATAAAATTTTATATTAAATAACCTTAAAATTTTGAATTCTTTTAATTAAAAACTCAAAAAATATAGTGCTTACTCTTGCAAAATCATATGCATATCTGTATATACTTTTAAAAGTATTTGGATCATTTAAAGAAGTTTTCAAAAAATCTAACTTTGATTGCACTTTCACTGCAGAATCACATTGTATATCAGTAAGACCTTTCAACCATTCATATTGACTAAAAAAACCCATTTGTCGCGCTCCCATTTTATGAGCTAAAACTAACATTACAACATTTTCTGGTTCTACACCAATATCTTCGCAAAATCTTTCCATTCCTTCAGGACCTATGATTTGATCAAAAATAGAATTTAATTCATAATTAATAATTTTTAATAATTATTTGAAAAATAAAAATAAATATTTGGCATAGAGAAAAAACTGATTTCAAAAAATTTTTTTTTTCAACAAAGCAAAATTTATTTTTACTTATTCAAGATCAAGGTCAATCTTTTTTTCATGCAATTTATTCGATAAAATTGTTCTTTCATACTTATTTGCATTTAATAAAAATTATTTTAACTACAAATTGTAATTATTTAAGAAGTTTTCTTTACCTAATGTATCAGGTTCATCTGCGGATGTATATTCCTTAAACCATGCGATACATTTTTTGGTACTAAATGTTTCTTCAGTTTTATTGTATCTGCGGGAACTAAAAACAATACAAAAATATTATGAAAATTTTCGTGAAAATTACAACGATCATGAATTTTTCTTCAAAATATTTAATAATTTACTTTTGCTCCTCCATATAAAAATATTGATAATTTTTTTGTAAATTTAATTATAATTTAAAAATTGATTACACTTAAATTATTTATTTTAATTCTAATTGAGAAAATATATATTACTATTTTGCTAATATTTGACAGAGTACAAGTGTAAATCTTTTATTTTACTTTTTAAAGAAAATCATCTTTTTCTACTTTTTCTCATAGTCGATTTTTTTTAAGATAAATTCTAAAAATAGCTTAGCGCTCTATTTCTCAACGAAATATTCAATGCCAAAATATCAAAGAAAATTTTAGTCATTTTTGAGTATCCTACACGAATGTAGTGAATGTTTTTTCTTTTCAGAAAAATTGTTTTTCTTTAAAAATATTCTTTATTAATATTTCCCTTAAAAAATTTTAAAAACATTATTTTTGATTAAGTTGGTAGGTACCTACCTATATCTTTATTATAGAATTCATTATTGGATTAAAATTCACAAAATTTAATAAATTTATGTGGACTATCTGAGACTAGTGAACAAGTAATAAGTGTTTTTCACGTATTGACATCTGTTTTGTTTGCAGATATAATATGCGTATTCAGCTCTTATTTAACCATACCTTGCTTTTAGCTTCTTTGATTAAGATCTATAAAATTATTTATTAAATTGCGCATGTGTGCAAGTCTCATGCATAAAAAATTCAAAACAGAAGAAAATGGAAATTTTTTATATTTATGGCACAATTTTTTTGATTCTTAACCACGTGTTAATATCAATTAGAATTTTATTTGATTTTTTTTTACTTAAAACATAATTGCAAACAAAAATATAAAGTGAATAGTCCTACGTGTAAGAAGTACAAATATTTATATTTGTATATAGATAAAAAATTTGCATATTTTCATTGATTTAGAAAAATAAATAAATTTGTAAATAGGTATCTACCCAAATTTATTTTAATTATGTAGAATTTAGCTTCAAAATAAATTTCTTTCACTTTTATATCTGCTAAGAGATTAATTAAAGTCATACAATTCTGTTGAAAGATTTATATAAATTCTACTCAGAAATGTTTATGAATTTATTTATGTAGGTACTTCAAAATCTGAAGTATTTAATCACTGAGATGATTCAGCATTAAGTAATATTTTTAAAAAACTTATTTGTTTCATGAAAGCGTTACACGCATAAATATCATAAAGAACTTTTTAAGGATGCCTATTCACATATGGAAGATATGGTAGATTACAAGAAATTCTACTAACATGATCTTATGATAATCTTTCGAATTTTGAACATTATACAAAAAAAATTTCTGTCTAACTTTTCCGAAACTTTTTTTTTTTTTGATTTTTTAAATCTAATTATTTTTATTAACTTTTTGGTTTTTTTCTTTTTCGAAGATTTAATAATTCATTCAAAAGTTACAGCACCTACCTGGAATAATTATTTCTTTGACGTTTTGAAGAAGAATGTCTATCATCCTCAGGTCCCATTTCCATAGAACGCCGTTTACCACGGGGCATGGCTAGTTAAACTTTTATTCGATTTATTCTTGTTTTCAATATTGTGTGTAAATTTATAATTGAAAAATTTCAAAATATCTTTGCAACAAAATGGGTAAAAAAAAAACTTAAACCTAAAAAATAATAAATACTTAAATATATTTAGAATTTTGTCTTTTAGAAAAAAAAAAATTATTTAGGCACATAAAGTACTCTATACTTGCTTATAATTTTTTTGAAAATCTTCCAAAAATATCTTACCAATGCAAGTATAAAATTGAAGTTTTTAATAAATTAATATCTTACTAATAATATTCAGTCAAAACTGCAAAATTTAAGTTAAATGTTTAATTAAAAATTTTTATAAAAATTATTTCTCTTTTCTAAATTTTATGAATTTCTTTTAATCAAATCTCAATAAGCTTGTGACAAACAGAACAGCCGTCCCAATCGGTATTGCCATATTTATAAAAATTTGAGTGAGCATATTGAATGCAATATTGAAACACGAAATTTTGTTAGCATTAAAATTTTTTCTCAAAAATTTTACTAAAAATTTGAAAAATTAAATGAAAAAAGAAAATTATGTATGTAAATGAGGATCTATAAATAATTCAAAATCAAATATTCTAATATTTCCAATAAACATTATTAGGAAAATTTTTAAAATTTTTCAATTAGATAAAATATTGTAATAACTCTATTTATATATTTGTGACACTTTAGTGCTGCTTTTAAAATACAGAAAGTTTGCGTTGCCGTGTTTTTATACTCCCAAATGTAAAATTGTCATATTTTAGCAACAACTTATGTGTAAAAATTCATGATAATCATACATTTACATACATTGTCTAATTTTAACTATAATCAGTACTCAAGTTATTTTTGCGCGTAGTCTTATTTTTGTTATTAAATATGAGATTGTTTATTTGATTTTTATTTTAACAAAAATGTTTAGAGGAACTAAAACAAAAAGTCAAGAACTAATTATTAATCAGTTATATGAAATATTTGGATATGATAAGGAAATAATTGAAATAGTATGCGAAGCTCAAAACTGGAAATGTAAAAGAAAATTATATACTTACGTTTATATATTTAATACATTATGTAAAATTCAATTCTTTGTTTTAGTTGAGGATTGCATAGAAAATTTGGTTTCTTACGGGGAAAATTTGAATAATGATGAGGAAACAAAACAAAATAATAATAATATTAAAGATAGCTATGCTACTGCAATCAAGAATGGCAAAGAGAAATTTGAAAGCGTAATACATAATTTTAGTGAAAATAAAATTAATAATTTGGGAGCAGTTCCTAAACATCCAAATGTTGACGAAAAATATAACGAATTAATATTGAATGATAAAAAAATTAAGTTTATTGCGGATCATATAATTTCTGGACATAAAATTATGGTATTAATGCGTGGCCCTCCTGGTTGTGGAAAATCGTATTTAGCTAGACAACTTGTTAAATTTCTAGATCCTCCCGGAAAATATGATTATAAAACATTTATTTGTAGTGCAGATGATTATTTTTATGACATAAACGATAGATACGTTTATCAACCAGAAAAAATATCTGACGCTCATGAATTTAATCAAAAAAAAGTTAGAAAAAAAGCATTGGAAGGTTGGAGTCCTTTAATTATCGATAACACAAATATAAGTAAGTTTCATTCTATATTAATTTGAAAAATAAAAAAAATTGTAGATAATCTTAATTAATTTATCTTATCAGCTCAAAGATAAAGCTTTCAAATATTCAAAATAGTTCTAGTGCAAAACATCAATATGAAATTAATTAAAATCAACAATTTTTTGCTACTGTAACCTTCGAGAAAGAAAATAATTTAAAAACAAATTTTTTTTGTTTTAGAAATATGGGAGATGTTAGTTTATGTCCAAATAGCTATACAATATGGTTACTTAATAGGTCTGAATTTAATTTATACACATTTATACTTTAATGCATGTTTAACACTATAATTTTAAGAAATACTTGAACCTCTTACTCCTTGGCGTAACTCTGCATCAAAGCTAGCAATAAAAAACAAACATGGGGTCACAAAAGAAAAAATTAGACGGATTTTAATGAATTATGAACCAGCAACCAAAAATCAATTATTAGAAGTACTTTGTTGTAATATCTTAAAAATTTTTAAAATATTTTTTTCTAAATTTTAGTTGATGAAAAATACAAGATATACCTGTTCTTTGCCTCAGTTCAGAAGGTATCCACCATTAGAAATCGAGGATACATGTGAGAAAACCAGTTCGCCTGAAAGAGAATCCTCAAATGAAAATAGTGATTCTCAACAAATAATGAGTGATGATAAAAAGGTAGAAACGATTAATGAACCTATTTTGTCATCTAATTATGATAAAAGCAATATAATTTCACACCAAACTGTTACTGAAAACATTTCAACTAAAAATATAAATCCCAGTACAGAGAAAAGTAAATTATGGGATTCTTTTGAAGAAAATATAAAAGAAGATAATGTCGAATCCAATTGTATTGTAAATAATGGATCTGAAAAACAATCTACATTGAATTTGGAAACAAATAAAAACCTTATTGACTTTGAAAATGAAACTTCAGAAAATATTAATGATAGTTGTAGTTCTTGGACGGCTTACGAAGACTCTAACCAACCCAAGCCTCAAAGAAATGTACAAACAGGAAAAAAGTTAGAAAATAAGCATAATTTACATGAAATATGTGAGAAAAATAACTTTATCTTGAACCCATCAGCTAAAGAATGGCAACCTTATGAAAGTGAAAGTAGTCAATTTTGGAATATTCAAAATAAAAGTTCTGAAAATGCTTTGATTTTACCAAAACCACAAAGAAACTTAACAAACGATTTTTCACCAAATGAAAACATTTTTAAAATTTTAAAAGAAAACGATAACAATGGTTCAACGAATGACGAACAAAAAAAATCCAAAGTTATTTTAAAAAGGCACTCTATTAACTGTCCAAATGAAAACGAATCATTTACGTTAATCAGACAAATTTGTCCAGATAAAAATGTAAATGGTTTGTGGGATCTGTTTGAAAAATGTAATGGTAATGCACAGTGGGTTTTAGATATACTATTAAGAGACGATACATGTGTTGAGAGTTTGAGTAACTCTTCAGAAAGTTTCGATTACCAATGCAATTGTAATCAAGTTCTACAGCCATTTTCTGATACCGACCTTACATCAACAAATGATGATTTAGAACAACATTCCAAAAATAATACTATGACAGCAGATATAACAAAACAAAAGCGCAATAAAGATATTTCGGAAGAAATGCTGAAGCTTAAACATGAAATAGAAAATCGAGTTTTCATGGATGATACACAATATTCAGAACATGTAAGAAAAATACGCAATTTAAAACATGGTGTTGAAAGCAATTCAATTTATTTCAACAAACCGCAACCCTACCCGGAAAATCTGCAAGAGGAAAATGGTAGCGATGATTTGGTAGAAACCGCAAATGAAGAAGAGATGATAGAAATTAATTTAGGAAAAGAATTCATACACCAGTTAGAAAATATATTTGGTGCTCGACCATCTCCTAATTTGCAAAATCTTAAAACTAATATATTTATGCCAAAAGCTTTAGGAAAACAGCTCTATGCTTTGTGGATGGAATCCATTTATAATCAACTGGAGGAAGAAAAACAAGAAACTTTAAAAAAGGATGAGGAATTCGCGATATTACTTCAGTCCTCTGCTAATGTTAGCACAATAAATCAAGAAAGTTATAAGGATATTTTGGACATGGAAATGGCTTGGTCTGCTTATAAAGCAAATCCAGATAAATGGAAAAATGATAACCCTCAAAATTTAGCCACACATTTGGCCCATGGTAAATTATGTGAAATTTTTCCTGAAATCGAAAAAGACACACTTTTGCAGATTTTACAAGCCCATAACAATTCATTATCACAGACAATTAAAGCTTTGAATAACACAGATGAAGAAGATTGCTCAGACATAGTATTAGAAACAAAAAATAACTTACTTAAATTGGCTCATGAAGAGACGGCAGATGTAAGAACAATTTAAAATAATTTATAATTTTTTTCAACATTTTTCATTTTTAGAAATTAGAAGAAGATACAATGTTAGACGCAAATACTTCCGTAAAAAAATTATCACCTGAAGAAGCTAAAAAAGCTGCTTTGAGGGATTTTGAAGAATGCCGAAATTTAGCTGCACACCATAGTCAATTAAAAGCCGAATGTTATGAAAAGGCTAAAGAAGCTATACAAAAAGGATATTCAGCAGTTGCAGTATACTATTCACAAATTTCCAATTTACATAAAAATAAAATTGACTTTTATAACCACAAAGCCGCTAGTTGTATAATGGAAGTACACGATTTAACCCAAAATAATCCTGATTTTCTTGATTTACACTATTTACATACAATGGAAGCACTCGAATGTCTTGATATATTTTTGGATAATCACATTTCAAAGTTAAGAAACTTGAATAGACCTTACAAGCATATTTTTATAATAACTGGTCGTGGTTTGCACAGTGCAAAAGGAGTTTCAACCATTAAAAACAAAGTGAAAACACGTTTAAAAGATAGAGCATTAAAGTAAGAATTAAAAAAAAACCTTATTTTAAAAGAAAAACTACAGTATTTTTTTTTAACTTTTTAGATGGAGTGAAGTTAATCCAGGATTACTTAAAGTCAAAGTATTTTCGGCATCCAAATTTTCAAAAAATTCTTAGTAGTTATTAAAAGTAAAAATGTAATTAATGTTTTAAATTGTTTACCAAAATTCTATTATTTTACGCTATTTTTTTACAGTGAAAATGTACAATTTTTATCATTTGATTTTAATGTAAATATATTAAAAATATATTACAAATTTTTATAATATAAGCATATTTGAGTTAATGTTATTTTTAAATTAACTAGATATAGAGATATATCGAATCTCTATAAAGCTGGAGTTTAATGAGACAAAATTTTCAAATATCTTAAATTTTTCAGAGAGCTCATGAACAGTATGAAATTGTTGAGCGATCTGAAACGGGAAATGGCTTTCTATGAAAGTTATGATAATCTCTATTAATTCATAATGCCTTCATTACAATGCTGATACAATGTTAAAAACTAAGCTTTGTTATGATGCTTTAAATATACTTTATAAATAATTTAGGTTAGGTTAACAATGCGGCTGCAATAAGGTGAACGTTGCAAGTGAAGCAGCTCAAGCTTTTTATAATCTGATAGATTAACTTAATGTGCATATGATGATGTGCAAAACTATCTTTATTTGTTTACTTTTCTATGTAGAATTCATCAAGAAATTTTACACCTGGCAACATCCTCAAAGTGTTTTGTAAATGTCATATAATATCATGTCACAAGAAAAACAAAATAAAACAAACTAAAATTACTCCCCAGTCAGATCGAGTTTTAGAAATTTAAAATTAAAGTTTATTAGATATCTCTCTAATTTAGTTATAAATAAAACAGTTATAAGTATGGAATAAGAACATAAATTAAAAATTAGAAGAATTCTTTTTTTCAATTATATCAATAGTCTTATATAATAATATTAGTGCAAGATAAGAATAAAATTTAGATATTCTCAAAATGGAATTTATTAATGAAGGAATAGCTCTCGGAGTTGACTTATTGATTCTAGGAATATGTTTAAAAGAATATTATTCTTATAAAAGCACATTAAAGTCGCTGAAGGTAAACATAAATCAAACCAAATTTTATATTTATATTGAGGCAATTAAGAGTCAACAAATTCATATATAATTTGTTTTCAGGCAGCCCCTCAATTGAATTTAGACTCTGATTTAAAATCTACTATTGCGAAGGAAAAAAATAAAATACCTTATGCCGTTATACGTGGTATTGTTACTCCAATTGGATCGCCAATGCGAAGTGTTATGAATCCTTCAGTTACCGGAGTTTTGCAGGTAATTAAATTAAGTGAACATAGAGTTGCAAGAGGATTTGCTGGATTTTGGACAGAGCAACGAAAGTTAATTCATGTGTCATCAAATGAAATTCCATTTGCAATAAAAAACAATGATGTTGATGTTGAAATTATTGATGGTTTAGGTGCAGCAATATTAGATTTAGATGTAGTTTATGATAACTATGAACCATCATCTCTATCATTTTTTGATCATATCTTTGGGTTTTTCTCTGGAGTTCGCCAAAAAGGACTACAAACAACAGAAGAAGTTTTGCGTGACGGTTCATTTTTAACTGCAATTGGTGAATTAGAACTTGATGGAAACCAATTAAAAATGCAGAGTTCTTCTGTTGGCCCATTATTTTTAACAACAGCGACAAAAAGTACTCTTGTTCGAAAGTTTCACGAGGCTAAATCATCTATGATGTTTGTTTTTATAAAATTTTGTTTTTAAATTCTAAGTTTTTTTTTTTTCTTTTGTAGGGTTAAAATTGGCTTTTGTAGTATATTGGCTGTAGCCTTAGTCGGGATTATTGGACGGAAATTTTATATTAAAAAGAAGCAAGAAAGAGATGAAAAGCGAATTAAAGATAGATTAGAGTGTGAAAGAAGAGAAAGACGTGCAAGAACAAGACCCTTGCATCTTACCGAAGATCAATTATGTGTTGTTTGTTCAACGAATCCAAAAGAGGTAAGCCATGAATTTACATATTCAACTTTAAATTATCTATACGGAACTTATTTGTTTGAAGGTAATTATTCTTCCATGTGGACATGTTTGTTTATGCGAAGATTGCTCACAAAAAATCAAAGATAATTGTCCTGTATGCCGTAGTTTAATAAATTCAAGAGCTGCAGCTTTTATCTCTTAAATTAACCAGAACCATCAGTAATGCAATAAAGGTGCTTAGGAAAAATAATATGCAATGATTTTTTTTTGTAAATATATAAAGAATAAAAAGCGAATTTATTGCTTTCAACTAATATAAAATTTTTCTTTTCTTACGTATAAAAAAAAACAAATATCACTATCATTAACCGAAATTTGATATATGTAGTAAGTGTTATGCATGTAGGAAATAAATTTGACCTATTAAAATGCATTTTTCATAATATGTTTATATAAAAGTTGGTGTTCTAGCATTTTTAGAAATATTTTATACTTTTCATTATGATATTTTATTGCAGTTTTTTTTGGTTCATATATTTTACCACTCCCTCCCATAGCCATTGAAGTTTCCTATAAAAAAAAATCATAGGTTAAATTCAAATTAGATACGTTAAAAAAAAATAGTTTACCTGTAAACTGGGATAAACTCTGGCAGCAGAAGCAGCTAACATTGCACAACCAACAAGAACCATTTCTTGTTCTGCGGGTATGACTGATGGAATGTCACAAACACTTGCATGTGTCTCAACATAAAGAATATTTTTGGCAAGACCTCCACAAAATAGAAGTGCTTCAAATTTGGGGTGATCTTGTCCCACAAGAGATTCAATTATATGTCTTGTACCATACTAGAAATTTAAAATGTAGTTATTCAATTTTTTTATTCAATAAAATTTGTTAAATATTTGTTGCCATTATTTTGTATTTTACAACTTATAAAATAAATCCAACTTTTATGGCATTGCAAAAACAAGAACGTTAAATTATATAATCTACATTTTATGAAAAGGAAACTTACCGATAACGCTTGAATGACTGCCAAATATAAAATAGCTAAATTTTCTTCATTGGTTTTCATAATTAAGCCAGAAATCTAAAAAAACTTGTTTAGTGAATTTTTAATTTTAATGGAGAAAATTATAATACCATTCCTTTCAGATCCGAATCACCAATAGGAGATCTGTTACCATGAAAATCCGGCCAAATATGCAAGTCTTTCGTTAAATAGCAAACGTCATCAAACCCATTTTGCTCAGCCAATTTTTGTAAAACGTTATTTAAATAATTGTAAATATTTCTATTTATAAACCAAAAAAAAAACTTTTATTTCAGTAAAAAGGCAAATTTAAGTGAATTAATTCCCATACTCATTTTCATCAAGTTTTGATACTATAAATTTGTACTGAGGGTGATTAAAAACAATGTGATCGAGTAGAGCACCAGCCGCACTTTGACCACCTTCGTTTAAATAAAAGTTAGGAAAAATTACATCCTTATAAGGTCCCCAGACACCCTTCACCCAACAAGGAAATTCAGTTAGACTCATATGACAGGTTGATGTCCCACAAATCAAAGCTAGAAATATAGAAACATTCTTTTTTGTTTTTTGTTCTTTTTTCTTTAAATGAGTATGTGGATACCTACCAATTTTGTTTTCTAAATTAATTGATTTATTAATTTGGCAACCAAACATTCCAAGGGCTCCAGCATGTGCATCAATTAACGATGCTCCAACAGTTGTATTAGGAATTAAATTCATGTTCCTTGCTGCTTCTTCTGAAAGACCGTTTCCAACAGCTAGGCCGGGACTAATAATATTATTTCCAATTTTATAGAAATTATTAGAGTACAGCTCCGCTAAATTTATGCAATCCAGAAATTCTTTAGACCATGAATGAGTTGTGGCATCGAAATTCCATTTACAAACAACAGAGCACAAAGAGCGAGAATCATCCCCTGTACTTTTCCAAGTAAGAAAATCTGGTAAATCAAAAACTTTCCATATTTTTTGCCAACAAGATAATTGAAGATTTCTTTTAAGCCAAAGCAATTTTGGCATTTGCATTTCCAAAGACACTTTACCTCCAACGTAATTTAGTAGCTCGTGTTTTGTTTCATTAATTATTTCAGCTTCTTTTGAAGCTCTATGATCCATCCATAATATAACATTTTGATTATTTTGCCCAGTTTTACTAACTGTTAATGGTTTTCCATCATCAGACAACACCACTAAAGAACACGTTGCGTCAAACGAAATTCCAGCCACTTCTTCTGGTTCAATTTCTTGAACTACATTCTAGAATATATATACAATATATATATATATTTATATGTATGTATTGTAGTACATACTTGTATATTGTTACATAAATATATTTAATCGCATTGTTACAATGCAATAAATATTTAAATAATGCTTACCCTAACACACTCGCACACTGCATTCCAAATATCTACAAACAAAAAATAAAAGACAATTTTAAAATTATTTTTGCGTGTAAAATTAAATTTGATATTCACCTTCCGATGACTGTTCATAATAATTAGCTTCGGGATTCCAAGTTTTAATGGATTTTGCATGTTGCTTTATCACTTGACCTTGAGATGTTACAAGTGCTGCTCTTACTGAACCAGTACCTACATCTACACCAACAAAATATATTCTTGGCATAGTTAGCTTCAATTTTCTTTATCTTGAATTTATATAATGTATCAATTTAAAAAGATTGTCTACTAACCAGTAACAATTTCACTATAAAACTGATTTTGTTCAAATCTTACTATGAAAAGCTAGCTAGTAAAAGAGAATTTCAGCAAACTGATTCTTATCATAATTATGATTTAAAGTTTAATCTTATGTAAGAATTCTCATTTTCTAGCAAAAAATGTAAATAAAATGTAAATAATAAAATGTGTGGAAATTATAAGTTTAAAAACTGGAATAAGTACCACTTGATCTTGTTTACATATAGATACGTATGTGTGTACCTATATATATTATGAACTTACATATCAAAACATAAATATTTACAATTTTGTAATGGTACTTAATTATTATCCATTCACAATATTTCATAATGCAAGCAGTTATACTAAAAAAATAATTGCAAAGCTAAAAATTCCAAGTTTGCCAAAGCCCCGAGTAACATAAATATACAAACATTTTTGAAAGAAAATTGAAACTATGAGAAAAAAGCGGATTTTTAAATACATATTACAATTTTATGTCTAATATCTGAGAACTGAAATTTTTTTAATACCTTTATATACAAAAATATGGAGCTTTATATCCCAAGTTGAAGTTTAGCAAGCTCAACTTTTAATATTTCACTAAAATTTGAGTGATTTTACTACACATAATGGTTTTTTTGTTTTAACACTTGAAATGGGAAAACTATTACAACTCGTTGCAACCCTAACACAATCGTGAATGTTAAAGTCAAATATCATCGTGAATTTTAACACATTGTAAAGTAAACAATTTAAAAATTTTTTTTGAGGCTAAGTTTTATTCTTTAATCCAAAAAAAAAAAAAACAAAATATTTAATTAATTCACGTTAATCACAAATTATTGTAAAATATGATACGAAGACAAGCTAGATTGCGTCGGGAGTTCCTATATAGGAAATCAGCAGAAATTAAGCATTCCAAAATTCAAGAGAAAAAAAATAAAATTAAAGACAGTTTAGAAAATAATCATCAGATCGAAACAGATTTGCAGAAAAATGCCCTTGTCTTACAAGACAAACTGAAATGGGATTCATCAATTTCTAATATTAATAACGAGGAACTAGATGATGAGTATCGTTTTGCAGGTTGCGAAGATCCAAAAGTAATGATTACAACGTCACACAATCCTTCGGCCCGTCTAAAAATGTTTGCTAAAGAAATGAGATTGATATTTCCGAACGCTCAACGTATTAACAGAGGAAATCATGAAATGAAACAATTGATGCAAGCATGCAGAGCTAATGATGTAACTGATTTTATCATCATACATGAGAATCGTGGTGTACCAAATAATATTGTTATAACACATCTACCTTATGGTCCTACAGCTTTCTTTAGTATATCTGATGTTGTAATGAGACATGATGTAACAGATGTTGGCCCAATGAGTGAACAGAAACCTCATTTAATTTTTCATAATTTTAAAACAAAATTGGGTATACGTACAAAAACTATTTTGAAACACTTATTTCCTGTCCCAAAAAGTGATTCAAAACGTGTATTAACTTTTGCTAATCATGATGATTATATCAGTTTCCGTCATCATACGTATGTATATGAAGAGAAACAACTAAAATTAACAGAAGTTGGACCGCGTTTCCAGATGAAATTATACAAAATTAAATTAGGAGCGTTAGATGAATTAGATGCCGCAGATACAGAATGGATACTTAGGCCTTATATGAATACAGCTGTTAAAAGACGTTTTTTGTCAGACGATGATGGATGGAACCAAGAAGATGATGATCTTGAGTAAATTTTACCCTTTTGATCATGACACCATTTATGATTAAAACTACCATATATTAAAATTAAACATATTTTAATAAAATTAATTTTATTTATATGAGTCTGTGGATATTTAACTTAAGCCTATCTATTTTGATATTTACTTTTGTATAGTACTTAATAATTAATCTCGTATTAATATGGTGGTGGTTGATGCGGATACTGTTGTCCCATCATATTCTGAGGTCTTTGAAGTTGTGCTACCAAATTCGGAGTTTGTTGACCTACAGTTGGATTTTGTTGTGAAACCATACCTGGTGCACCACCTTGTCCCATATTCATTCCACCTATAGCAGTTCCAAGAAAAAAAAAAATTAAAATACATTTTTGATTTGGTTTTCGAATATTTTGCCTTGCTGCTGTTGTTGCTGCTGCATCAACATTTGTTGCCTCAATCTTTGCTGTTGTTGGAATTGCTGCTGTTGCTGTTGTTGAGCGTGTCCTACACCAGCTTGTTGTCGGTAGGGAGGTGCAGCACCCTGCCCACCACCCATCATATTATTCATTGTAACATTTGGAGCTTGATTCATATACTGTCCCCTATTAGCTTGCTGCATTGCGCGCTGTTGTGCTATATATTCTGCCTGAGTATTTCTTTGAGGCGCAGCCATTTGACTAAACCCAGGATTCATCATTTGTGGTCCACTTTGTTGATTCATATTCTGATTATTATAGGTACCGAATTGCTGAAATTGTTGTGCTGCCTGCTGATTAACCATTGCCACCGGATTCACATTTTGTTGATTCATCATATTATTTGCTTGTCCGGTCATGGCACCACCCTGATTTGCTAGCCCGGTATTTTGACTTTGCATTGCTGTAGCTTGGCCTGCCATTCCAGCCCCTTGTACCATACCGGTATTTTGTTGTGACATTATATTAGGATTACCACTTGAACCAGTATTTGCATTGGTCATCATACCTGCATTTGTGTTCATCATTTGTGGAGCATTTTGTCCGCCACTCATCCCAACATTCTGCTGTTGCATTTGGGATTGCTGAGCCATCATCGAATTAGAATTTAATACCTGATTTATATTATTTTGTTGTTGTGGAATTTGTGCAAGATTGTTCATTTGATTCATTTGATTTGGAATACTATTTTGTTGTCCACCCATTTGGTTAGGTGCCATGCCTCGCATATTATTACGCATCATCATTTGTTGTTGCTGTTGTTGTTGCATTTGTAATTGTTGTTGTCGTTGCTGTTGTTGCATGCTTAGCGCTCCCGGATTTGTTTGCTGTTGACCTCCCATAAATGTATTTTTTTGTCTTAGCATATTTGACAAAGCTTGTTTAGATGATGGATTCATCGACATGCGTTGCACTAAAAATTGCAAAATTATAAAACAATATTAGAGATAAAATAAAACATTGCGTACTATTCTGCATTCCTTGGGGATTATAAAATTGCTGCGTTTGTTGTGCTTGCATTGGATTATAATTATTAGCCCATTGCTGCGCTTGTTGTGTTTGTTGATTGTTTTGCATCATTCCTGGAACACTAGGGCCAGAAACAAATCCCATTGTGTTATTTTGAGGTTGATTACCAATCATCGTTTGTTGCATATTTCCTTGAGCCATTTGTTGATTTATCATTTGATTTGGACCTTGTTGCATTATTTGATTAGGTTGATATTGTTGCATGTTAGGATTCATTTGATTCTTAAAAAATGAGTAAACATTAACTCACATGCGAATGAAAAATATTATTAAAATATACCTGCATATTCATTTGCATTTGATTCATTTGATTTTGCATTGTTTGTTGTATTTGAGATTGTCCCTCTTGCGGCAATTGTTGCGACTGTTGCTGTATTTGCAAATGTTGCTGATTTACTGGAGGAGTTTTCGGAGCTTTAGGTTTTCTAGGCTTTCTAGTTCCTTTACCTCTTCCGCGACCTGTTGCTGGAGCACTAGGTGATTGATCAACCGAAGAAGGAGTATCAGCTTTCATATCATCCTTCTACAAGAAAAAAAAATCATCGCAAATTAAAAACTAAACAAATTCAAAAATATTTAAAATATCGAACCAATATTTTTTCAGGTACTTGGTCTACATCTTCAGGCGGCAAAGGCAGTGGCTCATAATAATAACTACTCGGTTTTACTAAACTATGTGTATGATACCTTAGTAATCTATGGTTTTCTTCGTATGCTAGAGGTTTTCTTTCCAATTTGACTGCTCCAAACCAAGCCCATGATAAAGGAGCTGGATTCTTATGACCCTCAAGTACATCCCAGACACTTACTCGTTGTTTATCAGCAATTCGAAGCTATAATATTAATTTGATTAATTTTCAGCAATTTTTCGCACTAGATCAAAAAGATACTTACTTGCTTCTTATCTAAATCAAAAAAGTTAAATCTACAACCTCTCGAATCACCACCAGCAGGTTCACAACTTATCACCTCGTGATTCAACTTAGTTAATGGTAATAATTGTCGAATATACTTGATTGATCCATTATTTTTTTCACCAATTTCTTTTTTTAATTTTTTCATTAAATTGTTGTACAGTTTCTTATTGTCATCACGTCCAGTTTCATTTTCAGTAACTAGTGTTGAATGTACGAGAGTTGCCATCATGTCAAGGACGGTGGTAAAAAGTTCACTTTAGAACGAATTATTTAATTTTTGGATTAAAAGAAAACAAAAACAATTTGGTAATTTAACTATTAATTCAATTTACCTATTTGTACAGAGATCTATTACACCATAGCAAACTAATTGCGCTAAGAGTATAGTCCAATCAATAGTCGAGGATCCATTTTTTTGAATAGATTCAAACATTCCTCCTAATAAAGAGAAACGAAGTTGTAATGCTTCTAACATCTCATCCATTGCAGTTGAATCAATTCCACCAATATTTTCGAACTAAAATTATTAATTTTTCCAAACGTTAAAAGGTAGTTTAATGTTTTGTATAAAATTTAAAAAATTACTTCATGTACACATTGCACAAATTGTGAAAGCTGGTTATGCAATGAAGTCAAAAGACACTCTTTTTGTTCATCTTGTCCTTTCAAGCAAGCTAAAATTAGAGATAGGAATGGTTGATTGTCCATTGTCTTCTTTTTTGTTGTTGGTTTTTCCTTTTCCTCATAATTGGTATTATCTTTGTAGTTATCCTTGTAGTTGTCCCTATAGTTATCTCTATAATTATGATTATAATTTTCCCTATAGCCATCCTTATACCCATCTTTATAACTCTCTTTATGATTGTATTTTGAAAAGAAATTTGTTGTTTCCAAAACATGTCCAGCAACCCGTAATATTCTTCCTTGTACAGCATTTGGCAATTTAGCTATTAAAGGCTCTACTAAATAAGTTGATGATTTGCTCTTAGTTTGTTTCGAACTCTGCCCCTTCTTTTGTTTTTCAATTTCTTCAGTTTGGAAGACGTCGATTGATGCTCTTGCTACTGTGTCTAACCAATGAGCCGATTCTGAATGACTGTGCTCGCTTTGTTTATACATTAATTGTAATTGAAGCCAAGATATTCTTAATGTCCATTGTTCTAAATTTTCTAAAATTCTAATTATTACTGATTTTTGGTCCATATCAGCTATTATCGTATATTCATTTTCAGGATAACAGATCATTTGAAATAATCGTTGTACTTGTTTTGGTGTCATAATATCTTCTATTAATAAACTACATAATTTATCGGAAGCCTGGAGGCATCGCTCTAAAACCCATTCCTGTGAGCAAATTTGTTTCAAAACATGTTGTGCGAAATCTGACAGAGATGCATGTTGTTCATGTACATTTGCATTATGATGATTTGGATGATGTAAATCAAACATCATGTCATCATTTTCATTTAGAACATTGTGTTCACTTGTTCCCAAAATATGACTCAAATCTGCAGGCCGATCTATATTTTTTGGTGTACTACCAGGATGTACAGGAGTATTAAATCCACTACGTTTACCTCCAGTAAACATAGAGGGTGGAGGTTTTGGAGGGGCGGTTGAATCGGCAACTACTAAAATTGCTTTTAATACTGTTAAAACTGCTTCAACTTGAATGTTCTTATGCGCAGCGACAAGTAAATGACGATCACAACTAAGTTTAATGTTACATGTCGAGCTGTTGGCATTTATCGGGTTTGGCGAAGTGCTGACAGAATATAATCCAGGCTGTGGTATTTCTATTGTTTTGAAAAGCATTAAAAGCAAATGGCATGATATACGAGCACTAGCTTCTGTATCTGGAGACAGTTCTCTTCCGTTATTGCACGTGTTTCCTAAAAAAAAACATAGAAAAATAAACTCATAAAGAAATTAAGAAAACAAACAGTATAATACCTAGGGCAGGTAGAGCTACTTTCATTACAAAATTTTCCAAGGAAAATCCATGCCTTGCCACTAATATGCATGTAAATACAGCTAAAGAATTGTGTACGTTATGATTTTGAATATCTATTTGTCCTACAAGATCTCGATATTTTGTTTCATTACTGGAGCCGCACAATGCCTCGAGAACTGATAACCATTCTGCGGATAGAGCATTGCAACATGCAGTAAATTCAGCACAAGATATTGCTATATCATTCAGTTTTTCATTATCGCGTTCGCGGCAAATAACAATTACTGCATTACAAACGAAGCTAAAAATATTTGATGGAGATTCATTTATTTGTCGACCCCAAAGCGAATCGATTTTACCAAATCTTCTTGGGGAAGACAGAATGTCCATAAAAAAATGCGGGTTATAAGAGCGTGGTGAGGCACTTATTTGATAACCTAATACCAAGGCTTGCCTTATTTTTGGATAAATTAAGTAGAAATGTTCAGCATACTGTGGCTTAGTTTTTAAGATACAACAAGAGGAATATAAATCACCTAAATATGCCAAAATACACCTTTCTGCAGAACTGCAATCACAAGGATTATAAACATGTTTAACAGTTCTACAAAGCCCTTCGAAAACTGAAATCGTTTGTTCTGGTGATAAAAGTAAACAATTATGATATCTTCTTAAAATGCCAACAATATATAATCCTAAAGACGTTGTGTAGCTTTTAATAAGATTGGATTTTTTAATCATCAATTGATTTTCAACTTCCGGTAGTTCTTTTAAAATTTGATTACAAATATCAATCAAACCATATATATTTAATGCCATTTCCATTAAATCGAATAAAAATGCTACATGTTCCTGTACCGGTAAATAATTTCCATTTCCTGCTGCAAAACTATTAAGCATTTCTAAAACGGTTACAGCACATTGGCTGGTAACAATGTGCTGATCAAAATATGCCATGTTCTGGCATTTGTTAGTGGTTGCTTCAAAATTAAATTCATTTCTGGAATGTTTTTTAACTTTCCCTCCTTCAGCAACGTCAATACTGAATTTTTTAGAAAATAATTTACAGATTTCTTTCGACATTTTCTTAACAGCATGTTTCTTTTCATCACGCTCTTTTCCAACACCAAATAATAATACATATCTTTGATTACTCTCACTACTATAGGGCGAGGAGGGATCATCTTGATATATCGGGAAATGTTTTGTATATATAAAGTGTCTTGAAATATGAGATTCATTATTCGCTGAAGTTGTTCCTGTTCCAACATGATCTGGATCTTTTGGGCTATCTGGTGCTTCCATTGCTCCCTGCTGATCTTTTTCCTTTATATGTTGTAGAAGTTTATCCAGATCGTCATCAACATTTGAATCATCGAATTCTTCAATATTCTGTTTAAAATCCATTCCAGTGGGAAAGCCATCGTCATCAAACGTATTATTATTCGGTGGTGATGCTTTATTTGAAACTGGACCAGTCCCCGTGATTGAAGTGGGTTTAACTGCGTTGGCACTTCCAGTCAGTAAATCACCACGTGATATTAAAGTGCATAAGTAAGCATTGTGAGAAAAAACATCATGCCGTATTAATTCACTAAAAAGGTGAACTAAATTTATAAATTGAGCGCGATTTTGCTGATTACCATTTTCTTCTAATACAGGAGCATCATGATCTAGAAAGTTCATAAGGACTTGTTGAAATACAGGTACACCCCCAATTAACCCAAGTCCTGAACCAACGGAATCCTTATCATCATTACCTAAAAGGAACACAATTTTTATGTAATAATAATCATCATTGATTGGTTCACATTTGATATTTACCATTACTGTTTGCCATATATTCGTTGTATATTGGACTTGTGACTTCGGTTTGTCTTTTATCAAGCAAGTAAGCTACTGCCATCGCCCGATGCTCTCCCCAACGTTGACACGAAACTGCCCATTCACACAAAATTTTTACTGTTGGAGCGTCGGATTCAGGAGTATATTCAACTTTGACATCTTTAGTTTCGCCATTATTCCCAACTTCCTGACGTATAGTCGTAAATGGTTCAAAAATTTTTGGATACAGTGTTTCAATTGAATTTTGAGTATCCATTCTATCAAAACAATGACCATCTAAAGCATCTAAAATTTTCAAAACTTTAGAAAAACAATTAACGCTGTCTTTTTGCCATTGTTCAGCACACCACTTATTTTCAGCTTGCTTTGAGCGAGTTTTGATTTTTTCCTCTATATCTCGCAACAACATTCGGATATTATCATTCGTGAGGGCATATCGTGATGGCATGGGGAGCGCTGATGGTGGAATTGGTAGTTGATCTAATGGACTCCCTGCTAAAGGTGATAAAGCTCGACTTTCACCTAATCCACACCACACTAAAGCTGTTGGACACTCAATTGTAACTACCTGTATAATTGAACTTAAATATAAAAGTATTTCTTTGTGATGAGGGCAATTCATGTATTCATGTAATGCACGTTCTAATGGATCAGGCCCCGGACTCATCTCGTTTTGCATATTGATCAAATTATAATTTTCTACTGCATTATTTAGTAAATTAGAAATTTTTTTTCCAACAACATGAGCTAATTTTCTACTGAGTCTTTCAGATTGAACAAAATCAGGCAAATATTGTAAGCAAAATGGTAAAATTAGCTTATAAAAACCGTCATCATTTAACTGAAATTTCATTTTTTCTAGCAATTCCAACAACCAATTTAAAAATTCTTGCCTATCAAGAAGCCCTTCTTCATACATAAATTTACTTAATTGGGTACAATAGTTCCAGTGTTTAACAACATTTTTATTTTCATCACCAGAACCTAAAAAATAACAAATTTGAAATTCGATTTATATTAAACTTTAATAAAATTTGTACTTATTAAATTGTTTAAAGCCATACTTCCAGAACCGTGAATAGGAGCAGGGCTTGTTATAGATTGCGTTAACATTGGAACATGACCATATAAAGGATTTGTATTATGAGACACATTTGAAGCAGGTTTCTCAGGATTATAGCTTTCTTGTAATTTGGGAAGTAAATCTTTCATGTATTTTACTAATGTCCCTGTCCATTCTGTTGTTGGATCTGGTATTTGTCGTTTTTTAATTTTTGCCTCAGAAACCGCTACGGTATAAGCAGAACTTAACTTAATAAACCAAGTTGCTCTTTGCATACTAACTTGATTTTCACATAGCATACTAAATATATCTTCTTTTTTATTAAATGATGGTGCTTTTTTTGCTAAACTCAATAATGGCTTGTTTCCAGCTAAATCTTTAAACCATTGATCTAAAGTAGTTTTTGTTCTTGGAGAAACAGGCCAAAAATTATCTTTTACATTAATTTGTTGTTTTTTTCTCCCAGTATCGGGTAATGTCATTAATTCTTCTTTTTTTGATAGAATTAAATTAAAAAAGGCAGCAACTTTATTTGCGGTAACATTTGAATTATGGGCAGTACCAAATTCATCAGAAAGTTGAGGCATTGTGGCAAATCCATGTTTAACATTAAGTGAGGTAAGTTCATCTTCTTTTTGTTTAGCTTCTTGTGGATATATATCGGGAGGTCCCAATCTTGGCCTTTTTAATGGCCTTTTTTCTTGCAATAATGTTAGCATTTCGATTAAAAAAGTTTTTTTCTTTTAAATCTATATGTAACTTATAAAATTAACATTTTAATTAAAAAAAAAAAAATAAAAGATTATTGATCACAATTTTTTTTTTAATGAAAATACAACACACCTACATAAATGTAAAACTTTTCTTATAAAAATTTTCACTCAATATATTGACAGCAAGATGCAGATGTTTATATTCAACCCTAGATATAAACTTACCCAATAAACATTTTTTGACAATATTTATAATATATAGACCTATAGTTTAATGCAAGAGTTTGAATTATTTATACGATTTTGATAACAATAATATTTTACATTGCAATATTATTTGTGTTTCACTTACTCATGAGTAGCCAAAAATGAAAAACTGCGCATAGCCCATAATAATTTGAATATGTAAAAGGAACACAAATATTACAGTATCAGTAAAGAAAATAGTTTTTTAAAAAATTACCTATATTTTTTTTTTCAATTTTTTTTCGCAGACTATGTAATTTTTCAATATTTTGTTTTATTGAACGTTAAACAATATTTTTTGCCTGAAAATTATAATGTTTTATTTTTTATTAAAAAATTGTTTATATTTTCCCAAAATTTATTTCTAAGCAATCTGAAAAAACTTTATTTATTTATTTTATTTATTCAATTTTATTTAATTGTTGTACACTTATTGTAAAAAAAAAATCCACTTTTTTCAATTATCAAAGCAAATGGTAGTGTACAAAAAATCAAAAATTTTCTCAATTAATTGTGTCATTATGAAATATGACTCAAGTATTTTATATAACCAAACCCATCCCTGCAAAATCTCAAAAATATGCAATCAAATATTTTTGTTTATGTTTTTTTTTTTGTTTTTTAATTATTGCAAATGTCAAATAAATCTGTTCAGGTGGGGATGTACGATATTTTGGTTAAGGAAAGAAAAAAAAAGAGTGTGTGTTGCAAATTAGAAATAAATTAAGAAAAAATTTGATAATTGAAAGGAAAATACCTGTTATTCAATTATACCGTTAAAAGTATTATTAATAGAATAATTTAAGTAGAAAAAATTTATAAATTATTGTATAAAAATATGATTAAATTTTAAATTAAATTCGAGTTAGAAACAAAATTGAAAAAAAAAAATTAGCAGAAAAAAAAACGAAACGAAAAGAAGAAAATTACACATTATTCAAGTACTATACAAGTAGAGCTATGTACCTACCTATATAAATAATAAGAATATAAGAAAAATCAAAAAAAAAATTTGCATATTACACTAGTGACTAGAAATTTGTAACATTAATTTTAGTTTATTATTTATTGTCGGTCTGATAGTAAGTAGGTACATACAATTTTCACTTTTTATAATAGCAATAAATACCTATGAGTATGTATTTTTTAGTGTATTAAAAGAAGAATAGGAAAAAAAAGAAAATAAAGTGAAATTTTTTTTTTTTTTAACCCAGTGAAAAACACAAGTAGAACACACTATTTTTCATAAAAATAAAATTAAGAAACAAGTGCATATACATAAGTATAATATTTATTTTTTTTTTACAAAAAAAAACAAACTATTTAGGAAAACTACATAATATTTATTTATTAATACAAAAAATTAGCCTAATTTAAAAAAAAAAAAAAAAACTACATATAATTATTTATAAAATGAGTAGTAAGTCAATAAATGATGGAGCTGGAACTAGCACTAAAAAACAAAAAACTGTAAGTTTAATTCATTCATTTAATATAATAAATTTTAAAAATAGTATATTAAAATTTACTTTTAGTAATTATTAAGACCTAAATTTGGTCAATGTGGATCATTGAAATTTTTCATTCAATAATATTTTTTTAAGCTATACTTAAGTATGTACAGATATATTCGGGTACCACCATCTATATGTACTTTACAATTTAAAAGTTTGATCTTTCCAAGTTGGTACCTGCCTGCTTTCATACCCATGTTCCTACACTACTATCCAAAGAAATAATATATATTTATATCCAGAAGAACACATTTCTTTCAATTGGAAATGCGAATAATATGTTGTCAATCATAATTATAAAGGCACTTCTATGTATGATAATTGGGTCAACAATATTATTTATGCTAATTTTTTTTTTTCCTTCTTATATAATTTTTGTTTGTTTTTATAATTAAGAGAAGTATAAAAGTTTAATTGAAAATGAAAATCGTTTGATTAAAATAAAAAATATTCAGTACCGAACAAATTATTTCATACAGAAACATTACAGAAATGTAGAGCATTTTGGGACTGAATTATGAAATAAAAATTGTAACCTACCTTATGAGCTACAGAAAACAGAAAATTTTTGTTCTAATATTTCAAATGTCCTTTTTGTTATTATTTAACCAAGCATTAATATAGGTGTATCAGTGTCTTATATCAAACATTTTTGACAATTTCTTGTTAGATAAATTCATCATTTTTTTCTTAATTGCTTGAATATTAATATTCTCTATATCTACAAAGATATTTCGTTGTACATATGTGATGCCACGTGAAATTATATAAAAGATTACAGGCTACGTACACAAAAAGACAAAAAAAAAAAAAAGAAAAAATTGTTTATTCTTGTAAAATTGGTAGATATACCATAATACTTACCTACTCTCACCTCTTCATTGTTCATTCACCTTTACAACGTAATTATAAAAGTATGTATATAGGAAGACAAACTACTCATGTACATATCTACTAGAAATGAAAAAGAAAGATTTGCTTTTAAGATTTATTAGTTAAAGAGATAAAAGTATTATTTTGCATTGTAAGTAAAAAAAGGCTTTTGTGTTTAATTTGTCAAAGAAAAATTGTATTTTAAAATAAAAAGAAGCATTAATATTAAATTTTTAAATTTTAAATTTAATGTTCACAAATTCCTGTGATTTATAATAACTTCAATTTAATTAAAATTGTTAATTACAATGCAAATAAATATTTAAATTTTAATATTTAGAAGTATCTAATCTGCAGTAGTACTAAGTATCTAATTACCGAAAAATTTGCAGCTTTAATCTAATTAGAATTACTTATTAGTTAAAGTTTTCTAAGTGATTGCGAATTGTGCTGTTTTATCACAGTTTTTTCTATTTCATTCCAATAATAATAAATTAATATTAATGAAATGGAACTAAATTACAATATTTTTTTAAATTCTATTAATAATTATTCATAAAAGTGTAGTAAAGAAAATATTTAAATATAAATTCAATATAAAGAATAAAATATTTTGTTTATGAATTAATCACTGAAATTAATCATATTTTATTAATTCTAATTAATTAAGGAAATTCAATAATATATTATTTGAAATATGATGGTATAATTAAATTTTTACATTACTTAAATGTAGGAAACAAAACAGGTTATTTACCGTTAAAATAGTGTAGATTAAGTATGTTAAAATATTAATATGATAACGGTATAATAATATTATCAAAAAAAGCAATTTAAAATGTAAAAACTGCTATTAAAGCAGCACTTACTTGTTGTTACAAAATGCCAATTGATAGTTTTTGTTTTGTATGTACTCTTGTTTGTAGTATCTACTTTATCTTGATTGTATTGACCTTAACTTTACTTTCTTGTTTACTTTTTTTTTTTTGCATTTGCCCTGAATTCTACCTCTTTCTCCCGAATTAATGCAATCTTTCTTAGCATACGCATACTAATATTAATTTGGGCTATAACAGAGCATCTTCTAAAACTTGCTTGTTAAAATTCTTCAATCAGTTTTAAGAGTCAAACTGCGTAAATAAATTGTCTTGATTTTTTTGTTTTTACGTTTAAAATGTATGTTATCGTAAAAAATATGATTGATGACTCCCTGCGTGTAGACTAGGAGATGTTGTTGATCGTGGAACATTCTTATTATAATTATTACTTAATTATTCCTTAATTTTAGTTACTTGCTCCTATCATCATACCTATCTGTAGATTCAAAATAAAATTGAGTTTGGAAATATAAATCTTCTTAAAACTCCTAACTTAATCTTACATTCAAACATCACATACCTTCATCTATTCAAGAAATAAGTAAATTATAAAACAAAATTCACCAAATTCGAGATATGAAAATTTTTTTTTAATTAAATATCTTATTTATTTACTTATTATTTAGTCACGTCTTTTAAATGAAAAGTTTTTTCATTCTTATACGCTTATGAATGACGTTTAAATGAATAATTTTAGGTAGACATTTAAAGTTTGAAATATTTATGACATGCATACACATACACACTTATATAATTACTATTTTTAATTATTTGTTACATACATGGTTTTGAATTTTTTAGCATTGATTAAATTAATCAACAATTTTTATAATTGTATATACCTATTACAATTAGTTTGGTTAGTATACAAACAGACAGGAGCACATACTTAAGTAATTTTATGTTTATTTGTTTTTGTTCTGTTATCGCTATCTCTCTTATGTTATGAGTTTATGACTCTCTTAAAAAATACTGACAATCATAAAACTGGTTGGTTTCAAGCATCACTTATAATCAAACGTATACGAAGATATGCACATACTTACACGTACGTACTTAGATTTAAGATAAGACTTAAGTATGAGGAAGCTTTTCAAATTTTTTTTTTTTATTTATTTTTTTTTATATATTTAATTACTTACACTCTCGTCTATTGACCCTTTTTCATTCAAAAGAAAATTTAATTTTTTTTTTGTTTTAATTGCTTTATCTCTATTTTATTCGAATAGATTTTTATTAATCTTTTAGAAAAATAATATATACATATATATGTACTATAGCATTGTATACGTTATTTGGATTATAAATATTAGGTGTCCATAATTTAAAATTGATCAGATAGATTAAGTATAACCGGATTAATTTTTATATTAAAAGTTGATTATTAATTGTATTGTAAAAGTGTTATACTTTTAAGTTATGTATTATTGATAAGAAGCGATTTCTATCAATTTTAAAGAGTTTATTATGTAGACTATTATGTAAAATGTTGTAGATTTTCAAAAAATATTGGAGAAAATTTGGAATTACTTTTGTCGATTACAATAGTTACTGAATTTGTTGTACATATATATTTGTACAGAATTTATGGTAAGTCATGGT